AGAAATATAATACTCTTTGGCTGAAGTAAATACATTTAAATCAGAACCAAAAGGAAGAAGGTAAATATGGGTTCTAAAAAATACCAAACTACACTGACATCTGGGTCAGGACTACAAGTGAGAAGACAATCAACAGGTGAAACAGACCCCAATGCTGACATAAAAGATCTTATAATGGGGATGGAAAAGAGCTTGAATGATAAGCTAGACATATTAGCTGGCAACATCCAACAAAACTCGAAGCTAATAATAGACTTAACAACACAAATAAGTGACCTCTCACTTAAAAATAAAGAACTCAACACATCTGTACAAGAACTCAAAAGTAAAACCACCAAACAAGACGAAATGATGAAGAAATTGCAAAATGAAAATAAGGACATTAAAAAATCACAAGACTCAACGAAGGAAGAAATAAGTGATTTAAAGAGAGCCCATGAAGAGATACTCGACAACATATCATTGTTGGAGATGCATCAGAAGGAGATGGTTCTCTGCCTCTGAGGCGCCCCACAAACTCATGATGAGCAAATTCAAAAGAAATTATCACACGAGATTGCAAACTGGTTGGAAGTAGAATTAGAAGAGATGCTAATGGATATTGATAAAATTTTCAGGATTAAATCAGAAAGATCGGACACTTATAAAGGACCAGGAGATTGCTTTTTTTTTTCCAATTCAAGACTTCTAAAGGACAAAATATTACAACAAAAGGGCCAAGTGAAGTTAATCATAGATGGCAGGCCCATCAAAATATTTCAGGAATCCCAAAAAGAATTTTGAGAAAAAGGCAGAATTATAAGATAGTAACAGATGCACTCAAGAAGAATTTGATTAGATTCCGATGGGAATTTCCTGAGGGTGTCACTTTTACATACAAGGACAGAAGAAGAACTTTTAGATCAGTGTACGAGTTGGGAAAATTCTGGAGGAAGTACATAAAAGAACTAACTGGCAATTCAACGTTCGAGCGAGAAAAAACCTGTATAGAGTAAAAAACTGTATAGAGAGACAAGCAGGTATTAAGAGAGGGGGGAAGAGATAGGAAAAAACAATATCAAAATTCACAAACTTCTGAGTTTTCCTTTCTTTTTATTTTCTTTTTATTTACTCAATGAAACCATTGTAGATAACAAATAAAGATTAATGAATTTAAAAATTATATTTTGGAATGTTAACGGTTTAAATCATAAGAGAAAGAGAAAGAAAATAGAATATGTATTGAGGAAAGGACAATGGGATATCATATGCTTGCAGGAGACCCATGTGACTAGAAATCATAGAAGGGTTTTAGTAAACAAGAGATTGGGTCAAGAATTTATATCCTCAGATGTAAAAAAGAAAAGGGGAATTGGGATCTATGTAAACCCTAAACTAGATGCAAAGAAAATCTTTAAGGATGATGAGGGTAGATTATTAGGGGTAAAAATAACAAATGGTAAAGAACATTTAATTATAGTAGGAATTTACGCACCGAATGGTAACAATACAGAATTTTTCAGAAAAGTAGAAGCTAATTTACTGGAATTTATAGAAGAGGAAATTATTTTGATGGGAGACCTAAAAGTGTTACATCAATAGAACTAGATAGGACAGAGAGAGAAAGAAAATCACAAAAAGGTAGACTCCCAGACACCTTCTTTGAGATGTTAGAAAACCTAAATTTGATTGACGCATAGAGATATAAAAACCCAGGAGAAAGACAGTATACACATTTCTCGGATGTAAAAAAATCAGCCGGCAGAATTGATGGAATATGGCTAACAAATAAATTAACAACTAAAATTAAAAAAGCAGAAATACAGACCAAAATTATTACAGATCATAACCCAGTCACATTAGAATTAAAGGAACATAAGAAAATTAATAAAAGATGGAGACTTAATGAAAGAATATTAAATGATGAAAATACTGTGAAAAAAGCGCAAGAATTAATGTAAGAATTTTTTGAATTAAATAAAGAACAGGATACAGACATCAGAACAATATGGGATGCAAGTAAAGCTTTCATAAGAGGCTTTTACATACAACAAAGTGCAATAAGGAAATGAAATAGAGAGCAAAAACTAGAACAAATAAGGAAAGAAATAGGAATAAATGAAAAATTATTAACAAAACAACCAAAAAATGAACTAGTAAGCCAAAAATTAAAAATACTACAAACAGGCATTAGCAATATTAAATAGTGAAATCGAAGATAATATAAAATGGATGAAACAAAGGTTGTTTGAATTTGCAAATAAACCCGGAAAGATGCTAGCCTGGCAATTGAAAAAGAGACAAAAGGAAAAACTAATTGATAAAATAGTGGAAGAAGGAAGAACTTTAGATAATCCCGAGGAAGTTAAAAAGTTAAAGTTAAAAGTATAAAATATTATAACAAGCTATATAAAGTAGGAACTGAGACAGAGGATGAAATAAAAGAGTATTTATGTCGAAAGAACATACCCAAAATTAAGAAAGAAAAGCTCCAAGACCTAAACTCCCCAATAACCATGACAGAGCTACATCAAGTGATAAGATGAAATTGGGAAAATCCCCGGGCCCGGATGGTCTTACCGCAATACATTACAAAAAATTAGCGGAATCACTATTATCACCTATGATGATACTCTTAAATAGAATACTAAAAGACGGGAAGATTCCTAATACCTGGAAGAAGGCTCATATAGTAGTAATCCCAAAACAAGTACGAAATAAAGAGTTCATAACCAATTATAGACCAATATCACTACTCAATAATGACTACAAGATTTATTCCCAAATATTGGCAACAAGATTAAAGACAGTTTTGCAGGATTGTATAAACAAAGAGCAGGCAGGATTCTTGCCAGGCAGGAAAAACTGAATAAGAAGGTAGCTTTTGTATTTGTGGACACGGAAAAGGAGTTTGATAAAGTTTCACGGAAATTTCTAAAAATAATTTGTAATTTGAAAATAATTTTTTTTTTTTAAAAAAAAGGAAAGAGCAGAAATGCTGACATTACCATGAGGAAGCGTGTTCAAACTGTTTGTGCTTTGGATTAGCACTTAAAAAATATGATCTGCATTATTCTTCAGGGCTAGCATATTAGTTTGAGTCTCACTAAAAAAAAAAGGTGTCTATAGCTTCTCTGGAATCCCACAATGATTGTATTCTGTGAATTATCCCTAGCTGAAAATGTGAAAGTTAACTATGGCTCAAAATATATTCCCAGCTCCCAGGCATCATTCCAAAACTGGGCACAATCAGAGGACCCCTCCTGGAACAAGTTAGTGGCCTTTTGTGGTAGGTGGGGGTGGGTGGAGAATAGGGGTGGGGGGAAATTCAAGTAAGTTTCATGAGTCAGTTCACATTTAAAAGCAAATTTGCCTAATACACAAATGGAGAGCTATTGTTCAAAATGTACACTTCTCCATTTTTTAAATTTTTAGTTGTATTTATTAAATCCTCCAGTTCACCAGTCATTTAATGCCGATCTTTCCTCTCAGAAAATTAAACCTTGAAGAAAGATGTTTCTTCTTCCTTGTTTTTTCATTAAATATCATTTACTTACATTTTCTGAATACATAAGGAGCTAGAAAAGAAAAGTTGACTAATATAAAGCAGTGTTAGAAACTGAAATATGAAAGCTCTGAGCTAAATGGCACCTTAAACCTAGGTTATGGGTGCAGAAACAGAATTTTAGGTGTGCTTTTTTAATAACAAGAATGCAAACTGAAAATGAATGAACTGCAGCTAAAATCTTATATTCATTTTTCACATGGTCTAGTCCTCACCTGAAGACTGCAGGAAACAAAGCCATGCTTCCCCTACCTGACCCCCTAATATTCTTAAGAGTGTCTCTTCTCCATTCTTCAGAGAGTGGCTGGAGGTGGGGAGGCTCTGCGGTTTTAATCTGAAATTTTAGGCTTAGAAGTGCACCCAGGGGCCACACCATGGACACCATCATGATTGTCACTGCTAAGTGGGTAGAGAGTAGACAAATTTAGTTTTCCATGATGGCAACAAAACTATGTAATTCCCTTTTTGAAAGGGTTATTTGTTCACCTTTGGTCCCTTTGGTGGGCTCTCGAGACCGGTTCTGAATGTCATTGTTCCATCTTTATCCCATATTTCCTCCAAAGAGTCTCCTGCGGTGGACAAAGTCTTCTTATTCATGTTTTTTGTCAGGTTTACAATGTCTCTCTCACACCAAGACACAGCAAGGTTGCAGCTTTATTACTCTTAGATTTATTGAGTATTTACACAGTAGCTCAGTCTGAGCCCTTCCAGCTCAGTTCTCTAGCGATGAGATAGTTGGACCCACTGGATGAAACTGTTGACGCCAGCAGGATATCCTCCACTGGTTGCTCCACCTGCTGTGCTACCATTGCACCTGCACTATACTGTTTTGCCTGCTCTGAGGAGACTCTGGAGCAGCCTGCCCCTCCTCCTCCTCTTGAGCCAATGTTTGCCCTGTGCTGTCTTGGGAATTTATAGTCTGCATTCCAGGACGGGGAAGGCTTGCATCACTCTCAGTGTGGGCAGGAATCAATCAGACACACTTCCACCTCCAACAGCTGCATCAGCCTCCTCCAGAATTGTGAGGTAAATTGTTTCCCTCTGTCTGAAATCACTTGCAATAGCAACCCATGCAGCTTGAACACATGGTTGACAAACAACTACGCCATTTCCTGTGCTGATGGCAACTTCGAACACGGCACAAAGTGTGCCATTTTCATGAACAAGTCCATCATCAGCCAGACTACTGTTTTTTTCTGAGAGGGTGGCAAGTCTGTGATAAAGTCCATCGTGACCGCCTCCCAAGAGTCTTCGCTGTCACTCTGGGAAGGGCCATTCCTAACATTTTTTATCTCAGTGATAATCATGAGAAATTGATGAGGCTGTGAGGTAGTAAGTGGCCCTTATCTCAGATCAATTTAAACCTGATCTCATTTCTCCAACCCTCTATCCTCTATCAGAATGCATTCCAGAATACTGATTTGTGGTATTAAGGCCCTTGGGAGACCTTTTTGGCTTAGTAAGAATGAAAATGACCACTCACAGCATGAACAAAGCTACTTATAAATTTTAGGAGAAAATCCATGGCTTCCATCAGTTTCTGGAACCTTTCACCTTCAAGAGCAAATTGATGCCCAAAAGCCACAGCACATATCACGTTGGAGACTGAATTAGTGATGGGCATGGAAGGGTCAAGTGGGTGCCCTGCAAAATAAAATTATACTAATGTTAGTTCAGCTGCTCCTGTTCATACTGACAGTGGGATTTCATGGTGGCCAAGAGAAACTGCTGGGATCTCCATTAGGAACCAAGAAATACATATCACATTCCTTTCTAAAATGGACAGAGGTAGTACACAAATATATCTTCATACGCCAGCTCAGCACCATCACTTAGCATGACATACCCTTTGAACGTGCAAAAACCTCCACGAGCTGATGGGCCTCCTCTGCTATTTGGTGCTCCATGCCTTTCTTTTCCCGCCACAGCTTCTGCAGAGAAACTACAACAAAGCGTCTCTGTTGCCTCCAGCTGTGACCATTTGATAATGCAGTACCTATGGAAAATCAAGGAGAAATTATTACGTACAGAAATCAATGTAAAAAGTTGCCATCTCAGAACAAACAATGTTTACTGAAGTTCATGCCTTTGCATGTAAGAGCTGCTTAGTCTCTCTAAAGCAGAGAATTACAAGATGATGCAGAAAGGATTCTGGGTATAATTTAGAGGGAATTTAGAGGAAAAACCTATCAAGCTTCTGGTGATGCTATTGGGAAAAGAATGGAAGTGGTAGAAATGGAAGTTCTTTTCTTTTTCTCTTGATAAATTTCCTTACATGAAATGGGATCGTAAGATATAAATACGGGTGTAAAATAATGAATATACAACAAGTAAATAACTATGGATTTTTTAAAATAAATGACTACAGTGGAGAGTTTCCTGTTTAAATAAAAATGAAGGATTTATGGTTTTCAAACATGGAGGAATGGTTGAAATTTTTTTGGGGGGGCGGAGAGATAAAGTCATCATCCTGGATTGGAAGAGGACTATTCTTGACTCATAGCAATGTTTGGGGCTGAAGATGGGAGAAAATATCACCTAGCAGAACAAGGAACAGCTGGATATTATCTCAGAATACAATTGGATATAATACTGGAATGAACATTTAGAATATTTTGAATACACACATGAAGTTGATATCTGGCTAGTGAAAGACCCTGTGTGAGAGGCAGAGAAGGAAAGATCTCCCAGGGTGGAAGACTGAGGGAAGAAAGGGAAGCACCCAGGTGAGAGCTGGGAGGGTCCACTCCCTTCTGTGTGAGACAAGAGTTAAGACCTACCTTTGAGAGAGGTCTTGGCATTTCTCTCTCTCTTTTCCTTTCTTTGTTTTTGTTTTTGTTATTTATTTATTTGTTTAGATTAGTCCGTATGCTGAAAAGTTTCAGCAAACAATCCCAATTCAGCCAATTTTCCCCACACCGTTTTTAAGGATATAATGTGTAATGTCAACCAGTTACTAGTTCTACTGGTTCCACCAGGCGGGATTTTTATTGAGGGTGAATTCTGCACCATATTCTTGACAAGAATATTCTGCTTTGTTAGTTTTTCTGCAATGCTTCCAGAACACTTCCGCATTATTGTTGTCTGGGGAAACTATATCTATTGCAAAAGTGCGACAAAAATAAGTCTGTGCATATGTAGTTTTCAGTAGAAAGTTAAAGGATGTGATAGAATGGAAATGAAACTGTATGACCATCTCAAAATCTTTGCAGGCATAAATAGTATTGAAAATGGAGTTGGATGTAACCACCTTGAAATTATTATGAGCACAAATCATGATGAATGTGTAATCAAAAGTTTTCTGGAGGAGTCCTTTGCTACATGAGTCCGTGCCCAAAAGATGTTGGAAGAGCTTGCTGAGAGAAGCAGTCTTTTGTGCTTCTTAGAGATGTCATAATCAACCAAATCTCCACATGTGCTGAAGCCAGGTTTTCATACACCCAAACTAATGTGTCATATGATGGCATGAGGACTAGCCACACTTAATTTAAAAAGATATCCAGTGGGAAAATCCAGCTGGGAAAGGAGTCAGTGCTTTATCTCTCATTAACATTCTGCACTTGCTCCTCAGGCTTCCTGCCATGCCTTCTTGCTCTTTGAAGTCACACAGAATGATTGGTGCTGATATTATTCTTTTAATTCCTGCCAATTGAGCTGTAACGTATGTCTATGATTAAATCATAATTTCAAAAAGGTTTCTACACGCTTCTGCTGATGAGGAATAGACATCCTGATCCACTTGGGGGATTCTGAACCTATTGCGATTCATTCACACGAGTGACAGAAGCAGCAAGTCCTGCAACAAAATTTGGGATCTTTGGGGCTTATTTATGTAAGATCATGCTCACAGTACACTCATTGGAATTAATGAAACTAAATTAGTCATGTCAGGCAATTTCATCATGTCTACTCTTAAGTGGGATTATGCTCTCTATAATCCTCCCACATGTACTTAAAGACTTGTACATGGTGCAATATCAGCTGTTACTATGCTGTACACAAACACCTACATGCCTCTTTTCTACTCCACTCAGTTTCCCTGCTCTGGCCTCCCATTAGTTTTGTCTTTTCATACCAAAGATATGCATGCCAACCGAATCTGTTATCATGACCCTCTAGGTCTAAAATTTTTAACATTTTTTAAAGTTACCCACTCCCTATGCCAGCAAAGACAGGACGCCTCACAATATAACCTCAAGTCTGACAGGGAGAATCCACCTCTTTCTTGGCATCTGTTAATAATTTGTATTTGAACTTTGGCTTCTTTCCCCGCCAGCCAGATGAATTTAGAAATATTTTTTTTGCCATTGCCTGAAGTGTCCTGCTCCACTGACTATGGGTACTGATTGAAATAAAAGAACATTCTTGGCAATACATTCATTTTTATTACTGATATCCTTCCCCACTTAAATGCATTGTAAACTTCATGCAAGGAAGTTCCTTTGGCGAAAAATGGGACTCCACTGTGCCATCTGGTGTCTAAGTGTTATAATGCATAGAAAGAGCTTTATCTTTACAAATGTAGCCTAGTCCCAGGAGAAAACTATTACTTCCCTTGATCTGGACACTATATATCTGCTGATGCAGCCTAGAATAGCATTAGCTTTTTTGTAATTGCATCACACTGCTGACTCATATTAAGCTTGTTGTCCACAAAAGACCTCAAGTGAAGGAGACAGTGTTGTTGCAGAGAGTTTCAGAAAAGCAAACTGTTTTACACCTTTATTTTTTTTTCCTGCCCCAAAATTGTGAAACAGGAGACATGACAATGTCTTGCCAGCTTTCTTTACATTGATAATGTGTTCAGGAGGAAGTTGCTTTGCAAAGGTGCTTTGCAAACTGCAAGCAGCAGGTTTCATTCAGCCCAGGGCAAATTCATTTGCTCCATATCTTCACCGTTCCCTGGTCAAGAATCCAAGGAGTTTTCTTGGAACAACCCCAACCCTGAAATTTCTATCCCAGAGATTGAACAGATAGTAATCACCAATGATATGAGCTGAAAGAATAGCATTCTGATAAAAGTTAAATGATCCACTTTTGCTGGAACACTTAACCAGATTGTGGACTCTTGTTCATTGAAGGCTTTCAGCAGATATTGTTTGAGGAAGAAATGGGAATTTGCCTTCAATTATAATACTACTACTATTATACTACTACCACTATGCTTTGGTTGGCATTCCCTGCATTACAGAGGGATGGCTTGGGCGACCCTCGGGGTCTCTTTCTGCTCTGCAGTTTTTTTTATTGTAGGGTGACAAGCAGAAGAAAGAAATTTGTCTGGATAAAAATCCAGTGTAAAAACAGTTGTGTGAGGTTTTTTGGAAGCATCAAAGTGGTGGAGGTAGGGGGTAGGTTTCTGAGCCCAGAAACTTGTTTAGAAAAGCTCATAAGATGCTGTAAGCAAGCAGTCAGAACTCCCCGTCCCCGGAAGACATTTGAACTGTAACCGTGTATGTGCAAACAGAAGGGGAAACGACAGGCCACCAGAGTTCTGGAGTACTGATCCAGAAACTGAATAGCTAGAGGAGGCCAACAACCTACCTCTTGAAAGACTGACTCCTGTGACTAAAGGATTAAAAGAGCAGCAGTTACTGCTCTCCTTGCGAAAAGCACTGAGACACCACTTAGTGTGCTTTGGCATGCAGTTTTTTGACTTCCCTGTCTTCAAGAGCAGGGAACGTTTGGCTTACTAATGAAAGGCTTATCAAGAGTGAAGGTGTTGTAAGTGAAAATTCACAGGTGTAAAGTGGAAACAAGCCACATATTCAGAATTTTGAATTGGAAAATATCACCAATGAAAGTCCTTTGGGGGGGGGGAGTAAACATTTAATGAACTGTAAAAAAAAAGAGAGTAAAATTAAACTTTGAGACTAAGTTGTGCCAGGAAGTTCAACAGACATGGATCAAGGGGTAAATCTGCAAAAAATATCTTTTACTGTGCTGAGTTGCTGGTTTCTGGGATTGACTTCAAAATCTTCTTGCCATTCTCTATCACCACCTGCTGGCCATGACTGAGCCCATAACCTTTGTTAGCTATTTGTGATTTTAAAAAAATGTCTTACACAAATAGGTGAAGATAAATCTTTACTTGTCAGGCTGGCAACAGTTAAACAACAAGCATTATTTACATATAAATTCATGAGTGCAATTTGTTTCTCTCCCTTGAGCCCAAGAGAGGGTTCTGACATGACAGCTTATACTCTAAATTCACTCTTCCCTCTGACCCATCCAACTGAATACCTTTGAAATGATAGACTGATTCTGAGCAGGGCATGAGGAAAGATGCAAAGAGTCTTTGCATGCTTAAAATTCCAGGGTCGATTTCTAGCATTTCTGCTTAAAGGGTTGCAGGCCAAGATAGAAATATCTGCCCATCTTTATCCTGGAGAAGAAGAGACTGAGAGGAGATATGAGAGCCACCTTCAAATATCTCCAGGGCTGTCACTTGGAAGAGGCAGCAAGCTTGATTTCACCTGCTCTGAAGGACACAACCTGAACCCGTTGTGTTTGCTGTGAATTTCCATCTTGGTTGTGAAAAAAATAGCCCTTCCATTTACACTTCTTCCATTCTTTTTCCAAGAAAAGTTCCAGAGGTTTGATAGCTTTCCTCTCTAAATTCACTCCAAGTTGTGTGCAGACTCCTTTGTGTGCTCTTGCCACTTACCATCTGGCCTGGGGCGGGGCCTGAAGCCTCAAAAGAACTGCTCTGCTGCCCAGAAGGACTCCCTTGTGTGAGTGCCTGAGGGCCCTGCTCCTTCCTGCCACTTACCACCTGGCCCAGGGCGGGGCCTGACAGGCCTCACAAGGACTGCTCCTGCCACCTACTATCTGGCCCAGGGGTGGGGCCTCACAAGGGCGGTTGTTGCCACTGATGCTGCTACTGCCCAGGAGGACCCGGAGGGGTGCAGAGTTCTTTTTAACATGTTTTAAAATCTCCCTTTCCCTTTAGATTTTTTATATATGGGGGTGGGATGGATGTTTGGGTGGGCTTGGGAATTTGTTAGATTTTGATGAATTTGCAATTTTTGCAGTTTTTATTTGTATTGTTTTATTGTTTTCCGGGTTGTTTTTGTTTTTTTGTTTTTATTGTTTTAAGGTTTTATTGTTTTAGGCTGCAAAAGAATAACATTAATTGCCATCAATGGAGGCTACTATGAGGCTTGGGATTGCTACCGTGGAGGGGCGAGGGAGGTATGGCGGTGGGGGCAGATGTTATAGGTGAAGGGGATCGAGATATGGATATGCTCGTACCCCTTCCTATCTGCCCCTCATCCCGAGGGACGAGGGTAGGGTGAGCAAGGATTACTCAGGTCTATAGGCAAAAAACAATAAAGAAATCTCGCAGGGGGTCGACCTGGCTTGTGTGACGGAGACCTGGGTGTGCGAAGGGGCAACAGTTACCTTACGAGAGATGGCGCCCCTGGGTTTCTCTGTCCTCCATCAGTCGCAGACTGTGGGCCAGGGGGGAGGGGTGGCATTATTAATCCGGGAAGATTGTCCTTTCAGGGCTCTACCATCGCCATCGATCCCCGGCATTGAATGTGTTGGCTTAGTGTGGGGCTCCGAGGAGAGCTTGGCTGTCTGGCTGGTGTACCGGCCACCTAGCGCACCAGCAGCCATCCTGTCAGGCCTATTGGAGGTGGTGGCCGGCTAGGCCTTGGAGTTCCCTAACCTATTGGTCTTGGGGGACTTCAACATCCATGCTGATGCCACTCCCTCCTCACAGGCTCTGGACCTCGTGTCTTCCATGGCGACACTAGGGCTCTCCCAGTTTGTTTCAGGCCCCACACATCAAGCAGGCCACACGCTGGATTTGATCTTTGGCGTAGGTATAGATGTGATCATGTCTCCTTCGATGAAGGTGCCATGGTCTGATCACTACGCTCTGAAAGCCAGGATTGACTTTCCACCCCCACCCTGCTTAGGTGGTGAGCCCATTTGGGCTCACCCGCAGAGGCTGATGGACCCTGATAGATTCCGCCAAGCCTTGCGGGACCTTGCTCCCCCTGGCGACTCATTGACTGAGCTTGTTGAGGGCTGGAATATCCAGCTCCTGGCAGCCATCGATGAGATCGCACCTAAGCGCCCTCTGCGACCCCGCAGAAACCGGGCTCCCTGGTTTACCGAGGAGCTCTGGAAAATGAAGCGGGACCTCAGACGGCTAGAGCGAGTATGGCAGGGTGCCCGTGACGGAGCCTCAAGAACATCTTATAGGGCTTTTATGAAAACCTACGAGATGGCGGTGAAGGCTGCTAAGAAGTCTTACTTCTCAGCCTCCATTGCATCCGCTAGCTCTCGCCCGGCGCAATTATTTAGTATAATCAGGTCTTTAACGTCCCTTGAGGGACAGCCAAATTTAAATAACAATTTGACACACAGCTGTGAGGCATTTGCGAGCTTTTTTTGTGGAGAAGGTCTTGTTGCTCCGCCATGACCTCCCTGCCAATTTGGATACAATAAAGGAACTGGAGGCCCCTCGACTGTCCTCGGGTCCAGTATTGGACCACTTCGACCGGATATCCCCAGCCGATGTGGACAGACTCCTCCGAGCTGGAAAGCCCACCACCTGTCCTCTTGACCCGTGCCCGTCTTGGCTGATTAGAGCGTGTCCAGACAAGGTGCGGGCCCTCCTGGGGGACATCATCAATTTGTCCCTTGGCACGGGGACATTCCCAGGGGAACTGAAGGAGGCAGTGGTGTGCCCGCTCTTAAAGAAAACATCATTAGATCCTTTAGATCTATCCAATTACTGCCCGGTTTCGAATCTTCCGTTCCTGGGTAAGGTGATTGAGAGAGTGGTTGCTGAACAGCTTGGTGGGTTTCTGGATGAAACATCGGCTCTGGATCCATTCCAGTCCGGCTTCCGCTCTGGTCATGGGACCAAGACGGCTCTGGTTGCCCTAACAGATGATCTTCGTAGACAGCTGGATCGAGGTGGGTTGGGGCTGCTGATTCTTCTAGATCTGTTAGCAGCTTTCGACATGGTCAATCACAAACTTCTGGACGTGGGGATCCAGGGCACAGTCCTTCAATGGCTGCGCTCGTTTCTCTCTGGTCGGGGACAGAGGGTGGCGCTTGGGGGGGAATTGTCATCGCGCCACTCCTTGGTGTGTGGAGTACCTCAGGGTACGATACTCTCCCCGATGCTTTTCAACATCTTTATGCGCCCCCTCGCCCAGCTTGTCCGGAGTTTTCGGCTGGGTTGCCATCAGTATGCTGATGACACCCAACTCTATCTGTTGATGGAATGCCATCCTGACTCGGCCCCAGACACACTGACTAGATGTTTGGAAGCTGTGGCAGGATGGTTATGTGGGAGCCGGTTGAAGCTAAATCCTTCGAAGACAGAAGTCCTGTGGCTGGGACGGGACGATATGGGATTGGGGGGGCAACTCCCATCTCTTGCGGGGGTGCAATTAATGCCAGCACCGTCCGTTAAGAGTTTGGGTGTAATCTTCGACACCTCCCTTTCCATGGAGGCGCAGATTGCAGCTACAACAAAGGCAGCATTTTTCCATCTCTGCCAAGCTAAGCAGTTGGCTCCTTACCTCTCTCGCCCTGACCTAGCCACTGTGATCCACGCGACGGTCACCTTCAGACTGGATTATTGTAACTCGCTCTACGTGGGGCTGCCCTTGAGACTGACCCAGAAACTCCAGCGGGTGCAGAATGCTGCAGCGAGACTCCTTACGGGGTCTTCGCTGCCACATCACATTCACCCGTTGCTATACCAGCTGCACTGGATCCCGGTGGAGTACAGGATCAGGTTTAAGGTGCTGGTTTTAACCTTTAAAGCCCTATACGGTCTAGGACCCTCGTACCTACGGGACCGCCTTTCCTGGTATGCCCCACAGAGAAACTTACGGTCTTCAAATAAAAACATCTTGAAGGTCCCAGGCCACAGAGAAGTTAGGCTGGCCTCAACTAGAGCCAGGGCTTTTTCGGCCGTGGCTCCGATCTGGTGGAACACTCTGTCACAAGAGACCAGGGCCCTGCAGGACTTGACATCTTTCCGCAGGGCCTGCAAGACAGAGCTGTTCCACCAGGCCTTTAGCCAGGACACAGCCTGACTCCCTCCCTCGGCAATCTTTGCGGAGCTCTGGCCCAATGGTTGCCAGTGGCTTGAATTAATTAATTTTATAATGAATGATTTTAGAGTGTTGTTTGTGCTGTACTTTTGTACTGTATTATTGTTGTTAGCCGCCCTGAGCCCGGCTTCGGCTGGGGAGGGCGGGATATAAATAATTATATTATTATTATTATTATTATTATTATTATTATTATTATTATTATTCTCTCCCAACTCTATCTCTGCCAGTTTAGGATGTCTCTTCATCTCTCCATCTGTGGCTTCCTTCCACTCCTCCAACATCACAACACTGCCATTTGGCTGTTTCAGTCCTCTAGTCACCTTTTGTGAAGGACTTCTTCATTACACCATCTGTTGCCTCCAGCTCCACCATTTCATCCTTCTGTTCTGGCAATCCTTCATCCATATTGTTCTCCAAAGTCTCTTTGTCCTCTTTAATTCCACTTTCCATTTCATTCTTCTGTTTTCGTAGCTTTTGGGTGGTTGCTTCCGTACCCATCTCTGCTGTTTCTCTTGTTAAAATGTTATATATACAAACACACATACACATACAAACACACCAATTGCTCAGTGTTCCTCCATCCCTCCATTATTCCTAAAGCCACAGTTATCTCAGTTTTCCACCATCTCCATTTTACTCAAACTTCTGCCATTGAAGGAAAGGCTAGTGGAAGTCAGGGGAACTTCTGTTTCAAACTTCTCCTCCTTCCATTCCTTGACTGTGATAAAGGATGTGAAGCCTTCAAATATTGCATAGTGCCTCCACACAACCTATTTCACTCCTGATACCTTGTGTGGTCCGCGTTCTGGGTTCCGGGTTCAATGTAGTAATTTAGAAGAGATATTTTATTAACAAGCACACATGTACAGTATCCATCAAAGAAACTTAACATTCTTCAACTGGAGAAGCTGATAGCCTTGCTCTTAGGAGTCTATTCATCTTAAAGATACAATAGCATTGCATGGGGGGTGTTAGAAGGGGGCTGCATAAGAGGGAGAGGGGAGGAGGTGTGGGAATGTGTGTGTAAGGGAGATTTGAGAAAAGTAAGGAGGAGGGGGAGGAGAAAAGGGAGCAAGAGTAAGAATGGGGATGCAAAGGAAGTTGTCAAAATGGAGGGAGTAAGGAGGCATTGGGAGAGGGATGAAGATGAAAGCAGGGGCATGAAAGGGCCTGAAGAAAAGGAGGAGATGGGGTGAAGGGGAAAATGGATGCAAAGCAGAGCTGCAGAAAATAAGAGAGAAGTGGCTTCAGAAATGGAGCTGCGAAGGTGAAAAGAGACCTCAGTAGCTGCATGGGATGAGATGGGAAGGGAAGGGGAAATGCTAGGGGGTTCATGTGTCAGGAGTGGCCAAGGGGTCACCAAGTGCAGGAAGCAGGTGTGCAGCCCCTAATATTTTCCTATTTTCTTATGTGTTGCAACGGGGAACAGCACAGAGTTTATAAGGATGGGGATGTGCTGTAGACCCTATTATAGCCTCTTGATTGAGCTCTTTGACTCCTTCTGGCAGCTGCAAACTAAATGCCCTCAGCAGGCTGGTCAGGAAGATGAATATTTCGATCTTTGCCATCTGCATTCCCAAACATATGCGAGACCCTGAAGAGGAGACAAGAAGAAGAGAGTAAGTGAGCAATAGTGTGGTGTAGTGGTTAAGAGCGGTAGTCTCGTAATCTGGGGAACCGGGTTCGCGTCTCCGCTCCTCCACATGCAGCTGCTGGGTGACCTTGGGCCAGTCACACTTCTTTGAAGTCTCTCAGCCCCACTCACCTCACAGAGTGTTTGTTGTGGGGGAGGAAGGGAAAGGAGAATGTTAGCCGCTTTGAGACTCCTGAAGGGGAGTGAAAGGCGGGATATCAAATCCAAACTCCTCCTCCTCCTCCAATAATTTACTTTCCCAGGTTCATTGCTTTGTAGCTATAAACATTCTGAATAACACTTTGGTAAAACAGACATAGTTAGGATAGGGAAAACATCAAGGCTGCTGTCAGTTTTCTAGCCTAGTCAGTGCTAACCTTCCTTTCTTCTTGCTATACTTATGTTTTGTTCTGTATATCTATATGAATTGGGCAAGGCAGTGGCAAGTTAAGGGGATCTCTGGGTTGGTGGCTTGGGACCAGAGCCATAGCTAGGTGATCTTGCACCCCTGACAGAACTGTCCAGATTGCGCTCCCTAGCCATGGATAAATTAGCTCTTCTTTCCGCCTCTCCTCCACCCCACCCCACCCTGTGCCATTCAATTCCCCACACACTTCACCTTGTATTGAATTCTTTCCCAGAAAATACAATATTTAATTTATTATGTCTTAATAAAAGGTTTCAGGAAAACAAATGACATTTAGATGGCAGTTGACAGTTTTTTTTAATGTAATTAAGTTGTAAAACAGTATACAGATAGGCCTAAATGAAATGTAGAAAAATATCATACTGATTTATTTCACAATGATAACTTTATATTATAATACTATATGATGTAAAACGGCATTGCTTTCACAATATCTGTGGTATTTGGTTGATATAAATAAGAACACTATTAACATTATTCACAAGTCACATTACAAGTTCTTATTCAGAAGAGTTGTTATTTGAAATCTTTTTAAAAAGTAAAGTTAGGCCGACTCTGGCTTTAAGTAGGAATCTCCTCAATGAAGTCTGATGTGATTAGAACTTTATTTTTCTAGCTTTAATCGAAGAAGACTCAGTAATTTCATCAAAATCTGTTTTTGATGCTAGTTCATACTCGATGGACAGGATTGCTAGACTTGTTAGTCTGGTTTCACTCATATTTGATCTTAAGTAGTTTTGTATGAGTTTTAACTTATTAAAACTATGTTCACAAGATGCTACACTTCCTGGCATAGTGAGAAATATTCTCAGTGCTACGGTAATACCTCTGCGAACATCCGCCCTGAATAGCGTCCATTGCGGTGAATGTCCACGGCAACCCGGAAGTACCAGAATGGGTTACTTCCGGGTTTGCCGCTTGCACATGTGCAGAAGCGGTAAATCGCACTTCATGCATGCACAGAAGTGCAAACAGCTCCACGCGTGTGCACAGACACAGCACTTTGCCCTGCATCCTTTTCGGCTAGTGGCTGGGGCTCCGGAACGGATCCCTGCTGCAAAATGAGGTATGACTGTATTTTGATATCGGGATAAACATCTCTTAATGCAGCAGAAACTGGTGTATAAATTGCTGCTCACCAGGGAGTTGAAATGGTGTTATGTACTGAGTTGAATAGGATCCAAAATGCAGCAGTCTGATTGGTCCCAGAACAATAGGATTCAGAATGCAGCAGTCTGATTGGTCCTAGAACAATAGGATCCAGAATGGAGTAGTCTGATTGGTGCACAGGAGCCACCCCATCCAGCTCCAGGTGGAAGTGAATCCGCAACCTGATTGGCCTACAGCAGAATCCCAGAATTAGCCAATCACGTGGGGCCCATTGTGTAAATTATGTATATAAAGCAGACATTCGGGGGGAGGGGACTCCCATTCCTCCTCTTTTTTGTTATTTAATGATATTTATTGAAAATTTTTTAGAATTACAAAAGAGAACAAAAGAGAAAAAGAAAAAGGAAAAAACAAAGAAAAAAACAAACCACATCAAACAATACAAATTCAAAAAACCAAAAATACACCACAAACACACAAAAACAAATCCATCATTCTCGAATCCTCAACTTTCATTACCTTCTTTCTTTGACCTCCTCCTCCTCCCTTTTTCTGTATCCTACTTGTTAATTGTCGCAGCAAATCCTTTCCATATTTCATAATATTCTGTTGTTACATTACCTTAATCTATTTTCATCTTATCTTATAAAGAACCTTAAAACTTAAATCTTATTTTTACCAATTTCTCATAACCATAATATTCTTACCTAATTCTTTAAACATTTTTGCTAAAGCCAAGTAATTTCGTTCCAACATTTTTCTAACATTCATCAATTTTATAAAACAATCCTAGTAATAAAAAAAAGAAATAAAAACAATCCAATCTTCATCCAGCGTCCCTTCCTCCTGGTCCCGGGTTTTGTCAGTCCTTTTTATCCCAATGATCTAGCGCATTAACCTGGTAACCTTATATCCGAGGCCCTTAAGTCCCTTCCATGTCCCTTCCGCGGCTCTTCTTCATATTCTCCTTTCACTCGTGGCAACTCCAGCTTGGCAATGTTTTTGACCCTTTTCAACAAATCAGCCCCTTTTCCATAGTCCAGACTAAACTCCATGTGGTATTTAAAAACATGTTTCAGAATCCCTCCAAAATTAAGAGCCCCCATAGCCCCAAACAGCTCACGGCCCATTGCCAGACTTGAAAAGTCCAAACATCCCTGCATAGGGGGGTCTATCCAACCCCCCATTTCCAAACCAGTCCAAACTTTATCTTTCCAAATCTGGCTTTTTCCAAGTTCATTTGTCAAATCCAAAAGCTGATGTTCCTGCAGGGCCACAGCTCCCTCCATCTCTGGCGCCCAAGATTCAGCAACATCCTCTTCTCTCATCTGTTCTGTCGGGGAACGCTCCTGATTTAATTCCTGGGTGGGCTCCATATAGTTTCCCACTGCCTGTTCAAAAATTCTGATCGCATCAGTCATCAAATCCGTCTTCTCATTTAATTGTTCCAGTAGGGCATTTGTTTTACAGAGAGCACACAACAGAGCTTCTGAATACATTGTCCTTCAAGGTCAGAAGTCTATTCCCACGATTGTAATCTGTAACAGCTGCAAGCTCCCTGGAATTGGTTACAGTTTCACAGTCTCCCTCTAAGGGGAAAACTTCTATTTGTTCTTTCATTTAAGGACAAATCTAGCAACAAAGTTTCCTTTTTCAGATATTTTGTCAATATTTGTTCCTTTAAAATGCGAAGGGGAACAGTGGAATCACTATGTTTCTCTTCTTTTAGCTATCTGTCAAAAACGGTTGTCTCTGGTCAATGAGCTTCAAAAAAGAACGTCAGTCCTGACACCCCGCTCCAGGATCAAGACGGTGGAAAGTTACTTTACTTTAAACTCACTTCTGCAGGTTTAAACAGTCTGAAAAAGATCCCCCTTCTTCTCCTGCTTCCGAAGGGGGTTCAGCAATTTAAAATGTTGAAAGTTAATCTTTTAGAATTGATTTTCTGAGCTCTAGTTTACCTTGTCTTTGCTTTAATCTGTCTACAAAGAAACGGAAGGCTGACTTCCTGTTTAGACCTTCCCGTTTCAGTGCCAAATTGAAGTAAATTTTTAAGTCCAATTCCTTTCTGCTCGCAAGTCCTTATTTAAAGTCCAGTTGTCCGAAATTTAAGTACTCACGGGTGATTATTTTAGAAGCCAAATTGTCCCAGGAAAAAGGCAGCGCTCTCCGGCAACGGCTATGCGGCTTCGTTCCACGGAAGAAGCAGTTGACTCTCAGCACCGCGCCACTTCCCCCTCTTCGCTTTGGAGCCCGTTAGTGGGTTCCTTTGCGGGTTGGGGGGGCACTAAGGGTGCCCGCCGAGTCCCATGGTCACAGGCTTCATCCGCCTGTGATTTTTGAAAGGGTCCCCGCTTCGCCGTAGCGGAAAAGACCCGTTTCACATGGAGCTAGTCCCTCCAGATCAGAGGGAGTCCGCCATTGCCGATGGCGCCACCCCGGAAGTCCGGGACTCCCATTCCTCCTCACCACTATGAGCTGAATAAAGAGCATGAAATCCACTCTCGACTCCGAGTATATTTCAAATGGGCTGTGCAAACAAGGATTGATTGCTGCATAATGTTTGAAGCAGTCATGTGCTGTCAGTGGACCTGGGGGGACTAGGTTAGTCCCCTATATGTTCCACTGGCGCCTCCTTCTCAAAGACCAGGAAGCTTCTGCCTGGCTTAGGGAGGGAGGCGCAATGCTCAAATACATGACGTCCTCCCCACAATTACCCTTGGAAGCCGACACCTCAGGCCCTAACTGTTCCCCTACGGAAAATTTCACTGCATGCCACTGATTTGAAGCATGCGTATAAGAGGTGTGACAAAAATGTTAGGCTAAAAAGCAACTCTAACAGAGAGCTTACAAAATGCCTAAGTTAAAAATGAATTGCACAACACTATTGTAGACATACTTCCAACTCTTCAAAAGAAAAGAACTGTTGCTAACACAGATAAAACATTTACCTAGATAATTTCTGACAGTCTGTGATACTTCACATAACAAAGCAGATCAAAGTACTACTAAAGTATGCAATTTGTGTAAATCACCTGAAGTGTCTGTCAGTATGGAATTTAGGGGCACTCTCCAAATGCATATACGGTACTTGACCACCTCAACTAAAAGTGCTACAAATTCTGCAAACCTCCAGCTATCGGTTTATTATACATTTACTATATATGTAGCACATTTAGCTTACAGAGTCCTTGGCTGTGTGCTTCACTAATCTTGAAAATTAGTGCGATAGATTCACTAAAACAAACAAAAAATAAATCCAATTTTAGAATCAGGGAAATTGAAAGTTGAGAGACGTTGGTTTTCCCAGTTGGTGGACAATCTTTCTAAGTCTGGGAGAAAATAAGAAATAGAAAATAAGAAATAGAAACAGAAAATAAATAGTCAGCTTTTAATAAACATGTTTTTTCATGGAGATATATAGGTATGGAACAACAAATTGTTTCAGTAACTTTTGTTTCCAGAATATGTGTAGATGGATGGTATAAGACAAGGGTTTAGGAAACTGAGCTCAACTATTTCCACAGATATGCTTGGGTCTTGGGATACTGGCTTGGGGCTTGACTGACCTGATTATTGCAAGGATATTTGTGGATTAGATTATGCCTAACTGCTCAGTATTCAAGTGCTAAATAATGACTACAGATATCATTGGTTCAATAGGCACTGAGTATTCAGCAAGTTTGAAAACATCTGATCAGACCAGACCTGCTTTGCTTTTGTAGGCTCTTCAGATGCTGTTGGACTACAACACCCATCATCCCTGCCTTTGGCTGTGCTATCTGGGTCTGATGGGAGTTGGAACCCACCAACATCTGGGGGCCACCTTAGATTCTAAGGCATGAACATGACCTTTCGGAAACATATAGGACTTTTATTCTCAAAAGAGATTTTGCTTTCAGTGAATGTTTCAAATTAAATTAGCTCATGCACATCAACAGAGTCTATGTTTCTCCCTCCTTCAGTGGAGCCATACTAGGACCCAGGATCACAGTCTATTCGTCTGAAAGAAACTCTGGACAGTAGTCAGCTCAGAGAAGGCCAACTGTTGACATTAATGGACCTGACTTAGTCATAGTCCTTCATTTTAATGGGTCTACTCTGAGTAAAGCTTAGTTGACTACCACCCTATTTTCAGCTCGCATTGTAAGCGTTTGACTCCCCCCTCCCTCTTTCTCTGTGCAAAGGCTATTCCACCTTGCAAAACAATATTTCTATTCACATCACATGAGGAAAAGCATAAACAGCTAGCCTTGCCGTTTGCACTGTGCAATTCCATATAAATAGATTGCAGTCGGAAACAAAATCTTTCCCTTTCTCAGAAAGGCTACTGGATTGCCGATGAGCCTCCCTGCTTGGAATGTTTCATTTCAGAGAGGAGATTACGGGGCAGATTTGTAAGTTAGCCAGTTGGCGCGAGGACGCGTTTGTGCGTTTCCGCAGAAGTCACACACAGAAGCATAATAACTTAACAATTGATGCTCAAGGCTGAAGGGAAGCTCTGCTTCTGCACATGACCGTGGCATGATGGGAAGTCTTGCTTCTAAGCTTTTCTCTGCTTCTGCACATGTTGCACAACCCGTTCTAAATACCAAGACATTCCCTCATCTCCCTAGGATGTTCAGTTCATATTAAGTTCATGAATACATTATACTGACCTGTTCTTAATGCATAGTTGACCACATCTACGGAACGCGAATATTATATTCTTTCATGTTATGATCAATCATTAGTAATTGTTTTAGTCTTGCTACATCAATCACTAGTTATAATTTAATTAGGAGGTTTCATGCCTGTCTAGTTCTGTGCTCCCTTTCCCAGCCTTTAATCTATTGGTGATTAATGCCTATATGTAACCTTTGCTTTGTACTTGTGTTAACCAATCAGCAATGAGTTGCTTTGTGTTTGTGTCGACTAATCAGCAACGAGCACACCTGTGGCAATGTTGTAATATTCAATAAAAGAGTCTCCTCGGGGCTTGCTCGAGAGATGCCTCTCACATGACACTTGCTACTCGTCTGTCGTTATTTCAACCCAACATCTGGTGACCCCGACGTGGTGACCACCAACTGACGGAGCCCCCTCCAGAGGGGTGGTTGCTTGGCAACAAAATGGGATATGGCACAGCCTCTACACTCTCCCACAAAAGTCTGCCCAGCGTTCTGAGTTAGCAGCTGCTGTTAAAGCGCTGCACCACTTCTCCTCACGGCCCTTTAATTTGGTAGTGGACAGTCTTTATGTTGCAAATGTCATAACTCGTTTACAGGGCAGTTATGTAAGTCCCTTATTGGATGACAACTTATTGAGCCTTTTCCTGTCCTTACAATTGCTTCTCTCTAATCGCTCCCACCCACTATTTGTGGTGCACATTCGTTCTCACCAACCCTTCCCAGGCTTTCTCACTGATGGCAATGCAAAAGCAGATTCTCTGCTTAGGGCTTTGCCTGTTTCCCCCATTGAAAGCCATGCTTTCCATCATCAGAATGCGAAGGCTCCTAGCCGCCAATTCCAAATTCCGTTGGAAGCGGCTCGTGCAATTATCCAACAATGCCCTCAATGCTCTAATCAGATTGGCCACCCCAGCCCTGGAGTTAATCCCCGTAGGCTGGAAGCCAACCAGTTATGGCAAATGGATGTAACTCACTTCGCCCCTTTTTCACCTTGGAAGTTCATACATGTTTGCATTGATACGTTCTCTGGCTTTATTTGGGCCACCCCTCAAAGGGGAGAACAGGTTAAACATGTTTGCAATCATCTTGTTCGTACCATGTCAGTCATGGGCAAACCTCATTCCTTGAAAACTGACAATGCCCCAGCGTACTGTGCAAAAACCTTTGCTCAGTTCTGTGAAACTTGGAATATTCACCACTTATTTGGCATCCCCTATGATTCTCAAGGCCAAGCGATTGTTGAACGTGCCAATCGCACTTTAAAAACTGCCTTGATTCGACAAGAAAAGAAGGCCGGAGTCCCAGCCTCACTCTCTGAAAAGGAAGGCTGGTTGGCTAGTGTTCTCTTTACTCTCAATCATTTGAATGTTTCCATACAGGATCATCAATCTTATATTCGCCTCCAGAAGCATTTTCAGCAAGCAGAGATACTTCCAGCCCCACTGGTCCGCTATAAGATATTACCCTCCAACAAATGGAGTGCCCCCCCAGGACTCGCAAGCGGGGAAATTGTAATGGACCAGTGACATGGGGCCAAATAAAATCACTCTCATTTCAGGAAAACTGATCACCTGGGGAAAGGGTTACGCTGCAGTTTCTACTCCACAGGGTGCTCGCTGGGTTCCCGCATGCTGCATCCGCCTATACCATGGCGTGGCGACAGACCCTACAGATCGCCCAGGATGCGGCGTCCAGCTGAACAGCTTAGAAAGGAAAAGCAGCTTGAAGCAACCCCTGAGAATTTGCTTCTGTGTATCATCTCCTGCCTTAATATTAATTCCATGATAGTGCTCATTTTCAGCGTGTTGTTTTTGCCTCTTTCTGCTTCCGCTCCTAATAGCGATAACTACACACCAACAAATGTGTGGGAATCTTTTGCAAAGACCCTCAATATTTCTTCCTTTTGCCTAACCCAACAGGTGTCAATAGGTGAAATCTTTGGCTCCTGCCTTATCCCTGTTTGCCATGACCCTTTTGATATACAAAATCTTACCTGGTTTTTCTCATCCCTACCCAAAAATGATTCTCTCCGCACCCTTGGTTATTCCGGTTACTATGTCTGGGGTAACCAAGTGCGCCAACGCCCACCTCTGGCCATTGACTTATTGACCCCATACGTGGCTTCTTTTAATGTCACTTGCGCCCGTATGGTAAATTGCACAAAAACCAACTGTGTAAAAATGGGCAAGGATAATTTCCACTGCTCTAATTATGTAAATATTTATTATGTATATAAATACACAGAACTACCTGCAGGCTGGTTCTGGTCGTGTCCTGGCTATACATTTAATTACATTCCAGCAAACATCAGCCATGGAACACCCTGTTGCTTAAGCCGTTTGTCCATCGTATTACCCAAAAAGCATCATTTGACCCGCTCTTGATATCGCCGCTCTATTGAATTGACTAACGATTGTGACGATTCAATTTCTCTTCCCAGTAGGTCTGAATATATCTCTTTAGCTGTTTCTCTCCTAGGAGTCCCTGGATTGGCTGTACGCAATAGTAGGAACATAAACTCTTTAGCTTGTTCTGCAGCAAAAGCCCTGAATTATACTTCTCAAGCTCTTCACCTTTTGAATAAAGAACAAAGTGAACTCCAGCATGGCCTTCTGCAAAACCGCGCTGCTATCGATTACTTATTGATGCTTCATCATTGTGGCTGTGAACAAGTGGCTGACATGTGTTGTTTCAATATTACTGATAATTCTAAAGCCATTCAAAGCCAAATCTCTCATTTGCAAAATCTTACACACCACATTAAACAGGACGTTGGATTTTCTGGCCTCTGGGATTCTTTCACCAAGTGGTTTACCGCTTGGTTGCCAAACCTGACTTGGCTTCGTAGTCTCTTTCAATATGCCATTGTCATAATATGTATATTAATTTTGCTATGTTGCTTCCTCCAATGCATTCCTGGACTCATAAGTCTTTTGTCTTGGCTTCTCTCTCCCCCTCAGCCACCCAATAAAATCATTGCTGCCTACTTTGCGAAATGGCAGCACCAACAGTAAACATTAGGGGAGATGTGGGCAGACTTATTTCAGGCATGCGCTGGCATACCACATATCCCAAAGTATTTTTGTCCCGTCAACCCTGGCGAACTTATTTCGAGCATGCGCTGGCATACCACGTATCCCGAAGTATTTTTGTCTTATTCACCCAGAACACCTCGCAAACAAGAAAAGAAAGGGGGAGATGAAGGGAAGCTCTGCTTCTGCACATGACTGCGGCATGATGCGAAGTCTTGCTTCTAAGCTTTTCTCTGCTTCTGCACATGCTGCACAACCCGTTCTAAATACCAAGACATTCCCTCATCTCCCTAGGATGTTCAGTTCATATTAAGTTCATGAATACATTATACTGACCTGTTCTTAATGCATAGTTGACCACATCTGCGGAACGCGATTATTATATTCTTTCATGTTATGATCAATCATTAGTAATTGTTTTAGTCTTGCTACATCAATCACTAGTTATAATTTAATTAGGAGGTTTCATGCCTGTCTAGTTCTGTGCTCCCTTTCCCAGCCTTTAATCTATTGGTGATTAATGCCTATATGTAACCTTTGCTTTGTACTTGTGTTAACCAATCAGCAACGAGTTGCTTTGTGTTTGTGCCAACCAATCAGCAACGAGCGCACCTGTGGCAATGTTGTAATATTCAATAAAAGAGTCTCCTCGGGGTTTGCTTGAGAGATGCCTCTCACATGACACTTGCTACTCGTCTGTCGTTATTTCAACCCAACACAAGGCAAATCTCCACTCTCTCCTCTCCTCTCCCGCCTGTTCCTCCCCCCCCTTTTTTTCTTTTCGTTCCCCATCCAAGCGCTCGATCCACCCTTGGAGCAATCGCCCTGCCCTGCCTGGCTGCTACCCTAAGGTAACGATTCAGCCATGCGATTGGAGCATGCATTCTTCAGAAGTCCCGCAAAAACCAGGAAGTGAGAAAGGCAGAGGGGTGGGTAAGAAAGTGAGAAAGGTGGAGGGGAGAGAAGCGCTCTTAAGCAGCCAGGGAGGCAAGCAGCGTCCTGCTACTGGTGGCAGCATTCGCAGCAGCAGCAGGATCCCCTATGCCCGAGATTCCCAATGGTCCGTTCCAGCTGAGGTGGGAAAGCGAATGTGCTGTCTGAGGGAGCCGCGCTGTGCTCCTTTCCCCTCCGTACCCGCTGTGGTGCAGGGCTGCGGGATCCAGCTGCTGCTGCTGCTGCTACTGCTAGAGAAAGAGAAGGTGACATATTTTTAGCTGATTCTGTGCCCCTGGTGGGGGCCCATATCACCACCCTCTAGCTACGGCCCTGCTTGGGACCCACACGTGCACATACAACTATGGGGCCTCCATTGTTTACCATCTGGACCTCCCTACATATGCCACCCCTGCCCTGTCCCTGAGAGAGGCAGCACTGCAAGCACCAGGATACTGCTGTTCCCTGTCACACATCACCACTGCAAGCCACCCAACTTCTTTTCAGGCAGCAATGCTGGTTCCCACCAAGGTGAAGTAAACTTGGCAGGACAGTTTGCTCATGGTCTTAACCCCTTTCTGCATTGCTGATTTGGGCAGTTGACCAAAGTTTTCCTTTCATTATTAAAAATCAAGTTTTATTGAACGTTTTATGCGTGAGACACAATAATAGCCATGCTAATCTAAAAGGGAAAATAAAAAAAAAAATAGGAAAGGAAGAAAAGATTGAAAAGAAATAAAGGAAATTACAAGGTCCTCTATCAAAATTAAATCTTCACCCTTATTCTGCACACAGAAAAGTGAGCCCTCCCAGTTCTCACTGGGAGCTAGACCCTCTTACACTGGCTTCTAGCCCTGGGAGATGCTCTCTGCCCTGCCCCTCCCACAGGACCCTTCATCTTCAATCCATCCTCTTCCTGAATGTATCTTCCTTGATATGAGATGGGAACAAAACATAAGTATAGCAAGAAGAAAGAAAGGTTAGCACTGACCAGGCTAGACAATTGACAGCAGCCTTGATGTTTTCCCTATCCTAACTATGTCTGTTTTGCCAAAGTGTTATTCAGAATGTTTATCAGCGGCCTTTGACACCATCGACCATAACATCCTTCTGGACCGTCTAGAGGGGCTGGGAGCTGGGGGCACTGTCATACAGTGGTTCCACTCCTTCCTCCTGGGCCGTGTCCAGAAAGTGTGTGGGGGGGAATGAGTGTTCAGACCCCTGGGCTCTCACTTGTGGGGTGCCTCAGGGTTCCGTCCTCTCCCCCATGCTTTTTAATATCTATATGAATGTTACACTGATCACTGCAGATGGTGACAGCAGCCACGAAATTAAAAGACGCCTGCTTCTTGGGAGAAAAGCAATGACAAACCTAGACAGCATCTTAAAAAATAGAGACATCACATTGCCAACAAAGGTCTGTATAGTAAAAGCGATGGTTTTCCCAGTATGTAGTGATGTATGGAAGTGAAAGCTGGACCATAAAGAGGCTGATCGCCGAAGAATTGATTCTTTTGAAATATGGTGCTGGAGGAGACTGCAAGAAGATCAAATGTATCCATTCTTAAGGAAATCAGCCCTGGAAGGACAGAGCCTGAAGCTGAGGCTCCAATACTTTGGCCACCTCATGAGAAGAGAAGACTCCCTGGAAAAGACCCTGATGTTGGGAAAGATGGAGGGCACAAGGAGAAGGGGATGACAGAGGACGAGATGGTTGGATAGTGTTCTCGAAGCTACCAGCATGAGTTTGACCAAACTGCGGGAGGCAGTGGAAGACAGAAGTGCCAGGCGTGCTCTGGTCCATGGGGTCATGAAGAGTCGGACACGACTAAACGACTAAACAACAACAACAAGGGAGCGCAATCTGGACAGTTCTGTCAGGGGCGCAAGATCACCTAGCTATGGCTCTGGTCCCAAGCCACCAAGCTAGAGATCCCCTTAACTTGCCAGTGCCTTGTCCCATTCTGCTGACCAGCAGTGCCACTCCAGCTAGAAAGATGCTCCTTCTGCTCTGGCCCACTCCCTCCTGTGCTGCTGCTGATGTCATTTCCTGGAAGCAGACCAGTAAGCACATCTACAGATCACAACATAGCTTGGTCTTCTGAATTTACCTGCACCAAATGGCAGATATTCTTCTCTGTTCACGAATTGTCCATCCTTGTCCAAAAAATGATTTGGGTTGAACTCTGCAGGTGTCTCCCATCGTGTTGGATCAAGAAGAACAGAGCGCAGATCAGGAATAATCATAGTCCCCTGCAAATAAGAAACAAGTGACTTGGAATGCATTCACATCAATACAATAAGTCCCACACTATCCCAAGACTAATCATTGCAGATACTGATCTGAATAATAATAATAATAATAATAATAATAATAATTTTGGTGGGTGGCTTTGTATTCATCACTGTAAAAACTTTCTGTACAGGCAGGACACAAGGGGACTTTCCCCCACCTCTTTTAAAATGAAAGCTCACAACCAGGCTGAGACCTCTGGCCACTACATGCTTCTCCCCTGCCACAATTGCTCCATGGAATGGCACTTGCCAGTGGTGAAACATGTCTGCAGATGGAGCTCCTGCTCTTGCCCTTCAGATTTTTGACTAGACAGGAAGTTCCTGTACGGCTGGCTGCATCTCTCAATATGCAACCTTTTGCTGCTCTTTGTTCTTGGGCTACAGGAGTGCAGCTGTATCATACTGTTATACCTTGGGAATGAGAAAACCACGCAGCTTCAAATCCTTTGCACATTGCCTAGGGAACCCCAAAAAACTGGCAAATTTAAAGCGCTGCATCTCATGAATCACAGCATTGGTGTAGGGCAGTTTCTTCTTATCTTGATAGCAGATTGAGTGAGCAGAACCTATGACATCTTCTATTTCCTTGTGCATTTTATCTGAAGAGAATGACGGAAACAGATAATGATTGTTAATACTGCATTTTATTTCAGTTGGACATTTATTTCCCTTGAACATATTCCATAAATCTCTGTGAATGAGTCCCAGGTTCTTGCATTCAAAGCCCACCTCGTCCTCCAAAGAGTTTAAGTCAGTCTATATGGTCCTTCCCCACTTAGATCCCAGGTAAGAAAAGGTTGAAAGTGAAGCTCATCTCAGTAGTTTCTGGTTGCCAGAACTGTCTGGATTTGCTGAAGGGCTGGGATCAAAGACTGTCATATATTCATTCTCCACCCCCAGCCCTCAATATTTCCTGTTTACTTACACTGGCATGCTTTCGAACTGCTACGTTGGCAAAAGCTGGGACAGAGCAACAGGAGCTCACCTGTCTTATGGATTCGAACTGCCAACCTTCTAATCAGCAATCCCTAGACGCTCAGTGCTTTAGACCACAGTGCCACCCGCATCCCTCATGTAATGGAGCATGGAGAGGCAGGAATGAGGCTCAGTTACTTATTTCACAGCAGGGGCATTCTTGTACATTTGCTGCATAAAGAAACTGCTAGCAGATTTGCAAAACAAAACAGGTTGTGGTATGGTATCAAACTGGAGGGGGGGAATGTGTTGATTCCTGCATTGCAGGGGGTTGTATTAGAAGACCCCTGGGGTCCCTTCCAACCCTACTATTGTAGGCTTCCTTATGACAAATGACAGAGCATTGCCATGAAACTCATCTCCAACTATAAACTTCCTAGAGACATTTTATTCTGTTACTTGACTATTCTGCTCATTCAGTGAATGTAGGGCAAGGCCCATGGTTTCCCCCCAGTCCCAGCTTTCTGGGCATTTTACTTTTTTCCTTCTGTTAATTATAGGTTCTAGAAACTATGTAGGAAAATCTTGGTGGGGAAAATATCTTTCCAGACACGAAAGTCAAAAACATTTAGCTTATTTCGATATCGTTTACCTTCCATAATTTACATCATAAACTCACTTTTAACTCTTTCTGATATGACACCTTTTAAGGACTATGCTCCACCCTAGTGGTCAAGAGAAGCCCTGGCTCTCCTCTCTCACCTTGGATATCTGGATGACTTGCCAGGAGGAGAAGTGCCCATTGCAAAGAACCCCTGGTTGTGTCCGACCCTCCTACAAAGAGGTCAAAAATGCACTGGGCCAAGTTTTCTTCATCATAGGTGGACTCTGGGTCATTCCTGCTCTGGTGTTGAAAATGGGGAAAGTGACATGTCTTTTACATGCATTACATTCTGTCCTTCAGCATTTTACCTTCTTTCCCCCAATTATTACCATACCACCCACACATGCTTCATGAGAGGTGGGGTGTCCTCTTATAGTGCCTAAGGTGAAATGGGAAGCTGCTGCCACCCCCCTTACTGTTGCTGCCCTCACTTGCTGGATCATCACCTTTTCATGGTGAGTGGGCTTGCACATTCCTATGACCCTTGTGAGTGAAGCCATTGGGAATCTCATACTCCCAGCAGGGTCCCCCAAGGCAGTAAGGTCAAAGGGGAGGAGCTAGACAAAGAATGATCCAAGAAGTCATCAACGGCAGAACAGGCGGGTGATAACAAGTGGTATGTTACAATGGAATTTACCGGTCGCAATGACAACTCATGCCATCAGAACAGAGCCTTACTGCGAAGACTGTTCATTGGTTAGTGTGCACTGATCTACAGACATAAAACAAATTCATGTACAGGCGTCTTCCAAAAAACCCATCCCAAACCCAAACACCCAAAGTTCCATGGTGATCAGCATATGGTAACAGGGGCAGGATTGTGAAATCTGGAAGCCCTTAGTCATGAAACAGCACATGGGCGGTGGATACAGATTCAGTCATTCTGACTCAAGGAACAAGGCAGTTGAGCAGCTCGGCAGCTGTATCCATGACTGAGCAGCCCTTTTTAGGATCTACTCTGTTCACTCCAAAATGGGGGAGAGGCTAGAAAAGGTGCCCTAAACATAGTCTGCCTCTTTTTTTCCCTGACTGGATTACCACGCCCAGTGGGGTCACCACCCAGCGGTGGTAAAAGACAATTGAACTTTGGAACATGGAATATATGGACAGATATAACACAGATAATGAGCATCCTGAACACAGAACTGCCATCATTGCAAGAGAGACTTGACGTTTTAACATCAATATTGCAGTGCTTCAAGAGACTCAAAGAGCAGGCAAGGGACAACTGAAGGAAGAAAAAGGAGGCTACACATTCTTCTGGAAAGGTCTATCTGAACAAGAATGTCAAATACATGAGGTAGGCTTCGCTATCAAAAACAATCTTGTAAAGCTCCTGTCAGAAGTCCCTACCAGACTTCTGGTAAACTCACCAAAAACCAACAGGCTACTATTACCAACACACTCATTCAACAAAAAAATTAAATTTAAAACTTCATGGAGGCATCCTCAGTCAAACCACTGGCACCTCTTAGACTATGTTATTGTCTGTGCTAAAGATTTCCATGATGTGCTCCTTACCAGAGCCATGACGAGTGCCAACAAATGCTGGACAGATCACCGACTAATACGTTCCACGATGGCTATCAAGATTATACCTCAACACAGGCTTCAAGGAAGGAAACCAAGGTGCAAAATGAACACTCAAGCCCTTCAAAATCCCATTAACCGGGATTGCTTCCAAACAACTCTATTTTTTTAAAATATTTTTTATTAGGAATTTCAACATAACATTTTATCAAAAATACATCATCCTCATTCCCCCCCCCATTTTCCCTCCCCCTTCCCCAAAAAGAAAAAAACCACCCTCCCACCCACCCTGACTTCCCTCAGCTTCTCTCTCTGGTTTTTCAGCACATAATATCTCTGCATGTTATAAAATTGTAGATATCCTTAATTTATCTATCTATATATTACCAATAAAAGGGTTGTGAATGTTTCTTCAAAACCTGCCAAGGAGTCCAGTTCATTTTCTTGTTTCTTTAAGTACTTTGTAAAGGGTTCCCATTCTTCTTTAAAATCACAGCTGTCCTTATCACGTAGTTTGTATGTCAATTTCACCAGTTCCGCATAATCCATCAGTTTCTCTTGCCACAGTTCTTTGGTCAGGATTTCTTCATTTTTCCATCCTTGTGCTATTAAGACTCTTGCCGCTGTTGTCCCATACATGAAGATGTTTTTCAATTTCCTTGGCAGGTCTTTTCCTACAATCCCTAACAAAAATGCTTCAGGCTTTTTATAAATGTTAATTGGAACATTTTCTTCAACTCATTGTATATCATTTCCCAGAATTTTTTTAATTTTGCTACAATCCCACCACATATGGTAAAAAGTCCCTTCTTTTTCCATACATTTCCAAGACATAGTTGAACCAGTTTTATACATTCTTCCTATTTGCACTCGTGTTATATATCATCTATACATCATTTTCATGTAATTTTCTTTCAGCAAAGAGCAATCTGTATATTTTGAATCAGTTTTCCACAATCTTTCCCAAACTTCAAACATTATTTTGTGTTCTATATCTTGTGTCCATTTAATCATAACTGATTTCACCTCTTCATTTTTTGTTTCCCATTCTAGCAGAATACTATATGCACCTTTCAGCAGCTTCACCTTCCCTTCTACAACTTCCTTTTGGAATCTAGATGTCATATAGCTAAATCCTTTCTTATTGTCATCTTTGTATATTTCATGTAGTTGCCAATAGTGTAACCAACTCTGAAAGTGGTCTTTTATTTCCTCATAATCTCTTAGTTTCCATTTTCCTCCTTGATGCTTTAGCAAATCAACATACGTAAAGCACTTTCCTTTCTTTCCAAGTGGTTTGAGCAGTAAAGCTTCTTGTTGTGAAAGCCACCAAGGGGTCTTCTGTTCTAACAAATCTTTATATCTCTCCCATACTCTCATTAATGATTTCCTAATTATATAGTTATAGAAACTTTTATGAACCTTCCCTTTCCCATACCATAAGTATGTGTGCTAGCCAAATCTATTGTCATGTTTTTCCAATTCTAATGCTTCTTGCTTTTCCAACTTCATCCAGTCCCTAATCCATACCAGGCATGCAGCTTCATAATACAATTTAAGGTCTGGGAGGGCAAAACCGCCTCTATCTTTTATGTCTGTAAGTAGCTTATATTTTATCCTTGGCCTTTTGCCCCCCCCCCCCCCCGATTAACTTAGAAATTTCTTTCTGCCATTTTTAAAAACATTCATCTTTCACAATTACTGGGACTGATTTGAAGGGGAATAGCACTTTAGCAAGCGCATTAATTTTAACTGCCACTATTTTTCCTAACAGTGAGAGATTCATTCTGCTCCATATTTCTAAATTTCTTTTTATCTCAAGCCAAATTTTTTCATAATTGTCTTTGTATAAGTTTATATTTCTTGATGTTAGCCATATACCTAAATATTTAACCTTTTTATGGACTTCTATATCAATGTTTTGCTCCAATTCTTTTTTTTCTTCTTCCTTCAAGTTTTTAACTGGCATTTTGTTTTATTCCTGTTTAATTTAAATCCTGCCACTTCCCCAAATTTCTGAATCTGCTTCCAAACAACTCTTAAGGACCATCTGCTTTCAGAATTCCCTGATAACATCGAGGAACACTGGACCAAGCTAAAAACATTCATTATTGCAGCCTGTGAACAAAGTATCGGATAGCAAACCAAGAAACACGAGGACTGGTTTGATGAGAAAGACAGTGAGATTGAACACATGATTGACAAGAAAAGGAAGGCCTTTCAGATCTGACAAAGAGACAGAAACTGTGCCACTAAGAAAAAAAAAACCTATGCCAACGCTAAGGCTGAGGTTCAAAGAAGAACCAGAGAACTAAAATACACCTGGTGGATTAAAAAAAGCTCAAGAGATCCAGTGCTTAGCTGACACTCATGATGCACAGAATTTCTTTAAAGCCACAAAGACCATGTATGGGCCAATAAATCATGGCATATGCCCCCTATGCTCAGCAGACAGTACCACACTTCTAAAAGATAAAGAAGCTACTGCACTGCACTGGAAAGAACATTACCAACATCTCCTTAACCGCAACTCCCCCATAGCTGCTGAGGTCCTCTCACAAATTCTGCAAAAACAAGTTAGAGATGAGCTTGCAGTATCTCCTAATCTGGGAGAGTTGTGTACAGCCATTAACCAAATGAAAAACAACAAAGCCAGTGGACCTGACAGAATACCTGCTGAAGTCTTCAAAGTGGGTGGAATTGAACTTACACAACAACTTCACAAGCTCATCGAAACAATCTGGGAGAAAGAAGAAATCCCAGCAGACTATAGGGATGCCAAAATTATCAATCTCTTTTTAAAAGGTGACAGAATTGAGGCATTTCTCTATTAGCTGCGGCTGGCAAAATTCTTGCAAGGATCTTAGCAAACCGTCTCTTAACAATATCCAAGGTGACCCTTCCTGAATCCCAAAATGGTTTTTGGCCTTCTAGGGGGACAGTGGACATGATTTTCACCACTAGACAGCTTCAAGAAAAATGCTGAGAGCAAAACCAACCCTTGTATATGGCATTTATTGACCTAACTAAGGCTTTTGACACTGTAAATCATAATGCCCTGTGGACTGTCCTTCTGAAGATTGGCTGCCCAGATAAATTTGTGAACAACATTTGGCTCCTCCATGATAATATGACAGCCACAATCAAGGATAACAATGGCTCTCAGAGTGAACCATTCACAGTGGGATCAGGTGTTAAACAGGGTTGTGTTATTGCCCCAACACTATTCATTATTTTCATTGCCATGATCCTACACTTTGTTGAAGGGAAACTCTCCACCAGAGTAGATATCATATATTAAACAGATGGAAAGCTGTTTAATCTGAGCAGGCTGAAAGCAAAGATCACCAGTGTTGAACCAATGATTCTTCAACATCAACTTCATTGGACTGGTCATGTAGTGCGGATGCCTGATGATCGTTTTCCAAAGCAACTACTCTATTCCAAACTAAAAATGGAAAGTGTAATGCTGGTGGTCAACAAAAGAGGTTTAAAGACTGTCTTAAGGCAAATTTTTTAAATGTAGCATTAACACCAACAATTGGGAAACACTTGCCTGTGAGCACTCCAGTTGGAGAACAGCCTTTACCAAAGGTGTCGTGGGTTTTGAAGATACTCAAACTCAGGACACAAGGGAGAAACCTGCTAAGAGGAAGGCATGCTTGGCAAATCCACACCAGGATCATCTCCCTTCTGGAAACCAATGTCTCCACTGTGGAAGGACGTGTGAATCCAGAATTGGCCTCCACAGTGACTTGCGGACTCATTGTTAAAACCGTGTTTATGGAAGACAATCTTGGCTACGAGTGATCACCAAAGATGAAGAAGAAATCCTGTTGCTGCTGCCTGCCTTACCTGGGTTGCACAGCAGTGTCCACAAAGTGGCAACAACAGGGGCTCGGTGAGATCTTGGAAGATTTTGTTGAAATCTTGCCAGAAGCTGTCCCCTTTGCTTCTCCACTAGCAGCTGGCTAGGCAGCACACCCCCAGAGATGCCTCCTGTTGGCATTCCACTGCCCAAGGCAGCTGTCACAGCCTGCCTCATGGGTGGACTGGCCCTGTGCTTCATAGCTGGTTATGAAAAGAAACCCACACACAATTTCCTGTATTTACAGTGGTAGCTGCTAGTGCTAGATTTCAGGATCTGTGGGTTGGTGTAATAAGCCAACAGTGGCATGAAGAGAGGGATCCAGTGGAAACACTGGCATCAGATATTTCAAATGTGTGCTACCGTATTTCACTGCCTAATGGTCACCACCACATAATAGTCGAGCTACTTTTCTCAAGCCTTAAAATCAGTCCCAAAGCATTCAACACACAATAGTCACAGGGCATTCTCAGTGTGCATGAAATTGCCTTGCCCTGATTTGGACTACCTTTACCTGTTCACAAGTATTCTGTGCATCCTAATCACACCAAAAACAGTTAGTAACAAGTAATAAGCAATGTTACCATAAGTATGTTTGTTAATAAAAAATGTTTCCTCGCATAAGGGTCATGCCTTAGTTTTTCCCCACATAATTGTCACAACTCCCTTTTTTGAAAAAGAATAATTTGCATAAAAATGTGACAATTATGTGGTGAAATATGGCACTTCCCACTAAACATATTTAACAGTTCTTTTTTCACCATAATAAGCATTGTTCAAAGAGGGAAAGATGAAAATATATTTTGTCCTTTCTAGTATATGAAGATGGATGAGACAGGGATTTGAAGTCATAGTTAACTTAAGAATATTTTGTTTTGGATTTTCTGTTTTCTCAGTCCACATTTGAATGTCAGATAAACATCAATCCAAAAAATGCTCCAAAACAAGACCCCATAATACACTTAAGTTTCCACTCCTTTACACTCACATTTCCTAGACATTTCTATAGATGCTTATGGATGGATGAGCAACTAAATTGACTATGAGAAATATTTGGAGGAAACTCAATGCGATTTTCAATAGAGATTGGGGGGAAAAGACACAGTGGTACCTCGGTTTTCGAACAGCTTAGTTCCCGAACAACTTGGAACTTGAATGCTGCAAACCTGGAAGTTTCGGTTTGCGAACTTTGCTTCAGAATCTGAATGTGCTCCTGAGCTTCCATTTTCACTGTTGCGCTGCTAATTTGCGCCCCCCCCCCCAATTGTAATCAAAGCCTTCCATTTCTGATTGAAGTGTTCTGAGGTGATATTTGGAGCTTATATTTGGTGCTTTTATTTTTGTTTTGTTTTTACGTTTTTGTTTGTATGGCCTTTTCATTTTTGTGAATGTAGCTTGTTCTTCATTTTATGATTGATTGATTGATTGATTATGTGACTACGGAAATGGATAAAAACCCACAATCCAAACAATGACTATCATCAGCGCAGGTAAGAAAGAATTTTAATTTTAATTGTTATCATCCACAATACTGTTTTATTTATTTTATAGTACAGTACAGTGATTACTGCTTTCATTTTATTAATCAATGGCCTCGTTAGATAGTAAAATTCACGTTAAATTGCTGTTTTAGAGGTTGTGTATAAAAGTCTGGAATGGATTAATTCGTTTTCCATTACTTTCTATGGGAAAGCATGCCTCAGTTTTGGAACACTTTGATTTTGGAACAGACTTCTGGAACGGATTAAGTTTGAGAACCAAGGTACCACTGTACTGGTTTCCAGGCAAGGGATTAGTATTCACATATAACAGGGAATATAATGATTCCTTGAATGCGCTGCCTACAGTTTTGAAGCAGATACTCATTTGCATTCACATTTGTACATGAAAATATCTATCCTTTCCTAGCTATTTTAGTAGATGCCTATGGAAGGATGTCAACTCACTTTAGCAATTAAAATGACTATGGGGGAATGGGGGGGGCAGAGAGAGGTATTCGTGTCCTGGCAAGAGATTAGTATTTACTTATTTTTTATTATTATTATTATTAAAGATTTCAACATAACAATTAATCAAAAACATATCATTCTCAATCCCCCCCTATTTTCCCCTCCCCAAAAAGAAAGACTTCCTTCAGCTCCTCTCTCTGTTTTTTCAGGATTATTATTCACTCATAACATGGAATATAATGATTCCTTGGATGAGCAGCATTCGGTTTCAAGCAGATACTTACTTTCTCCATCTGAAGTAGATAGAAATCAATGAAATCCTGTGGATCATGCACAGACTGATTCTCCTTATGCTTCTCTATCTCCTCCTTTGCAAATGAACGCACCATCTCCATGCAGGACAGGGCCTTCTTGTGGGGCCCTGGGAGATGTTTCATGAGCCATGGTAGCATTTCATAAAGCTAAAGGAAGAATAGCAGAAATGCTGCCATTACCATGAGGAAGCTTGTTCAAACCATTTGTGCTTTGGAATTGCACTTTAAAAACATGATCTGCATTATTCTTCAGGGCTAGCATATTAGTTTGAGTCTCACTACGAAGACTCTCCAGCTTCTCTGGAATCCCACAATGATTGGATTCTGTGATTTATCCCTAGCTGAAAATGTGAAAGAAAACTATGGCTCAAAATATTTTTCCAGCTCCCCGGCATAATTCCAAAACTGGGCACAATCTCAGGACCTCTCCTGGAACAAGTTAGTGCCCTTTTGTGGTAGGTGGGGGTGGGTGACGAATAGGGGTGGGGGGAAATTCAAGTAAGTTTCATGAGTACTTTTTTTTTATATATAGATTAGGAATGGAGGTAGAAATGTGGAGAACTGAACTTAAATTTGAGGAAAGGGTTTAGTTGATCATCCAGAAGGGGCTGCTTTCCTCAGCAATAGCGATAGTGCTTGAGTTGCTGGTCTCTCTTTCATTAAAAAAAAATTCCAGCCAAGTGGTGGCTGCAGGGGCCTCACCATGGATGCCATCATGATTGCCACTGCTAGGTGGGTATAGAGTAGACACATTTAGTTTTTCATGATGGCAACAAAACGATGTAATTCCCTTCTTGAGATTATTTTGTTCACCTCTCTTCCCCTTGGTGGGCTCTAGATGACCTGTTCTCAACTCATTGTTCCTCATTTTTGTCCCATCTTCCCTCCAAAGAGTCTCCTGTGGTGGACAAAATCTTCTTTTGTTGCTGGGGTGGGGGTTTGCGTGTTTTTTATCTCAATGATAATCATGAGCAATTGATCAGGCTGTGAGATAGTAAGTGGCCCTTATCTCAGATCAATTTAAACCTGATCTCACTTCTCCAACCCTCTATCAGAATACTGATTTGTGGTATTAAGGCCCTTGGGAGACCTGTTTGGCAGGAATGGAAATGACTACTCACAGCATAACCAAAGCTACATAGAAATTGTAGGGAAAATTCTATGGCTTCTATCAGCTTCTGGAGCCTTTCATCTTCAAGAGCAAACCGGTGCCCAAAAGCCACAGCACTTATCATGTTGGAGACTGAAGTAGTGATGGGCAAGGAGGGGTCAAGTGGTTGTCCTGCAAAATAAAGTTATACTAATGTTAGCTCAGCTGGTCCAGTTCATACTGAGAGTGGGGTTTCATGGGGGCCAAGAGAAACTGCTGGGATCTCCATTAGGAACCAAGAAAAGCATATCACATTCCTTTCTAAAGTGGACAGAGGTAGGACACAAATATATCTCCATATGCGAGCTCAGCACCATCACTTAGCATCACATACCCTTTGAACGTGCAAAAACCTCCACGAGCTGATGGGCCTCCTCTGCTACTTGCTGCTCCATGCCTTTCTTTTCCCACCACAGCTTCCGCAGAGTAACTACAATAAAGCGTCTCTGTTGCCTCCAGGTGTGACCATTTGATAATGCAATACCTATGGAAAATCAGTGAGAAATAACAACAATCATATCTCAGGTTAAAGTCGCTTCGGGTTAAATCTTTTCAGGTTGCCTCCCACGGTGGCCCAGAAGTAATGGAACAGGTTACTTCAGGATTTTGCCGCTCACACATGTGCAGACGCTCAGAATGACGTCACATGCATCCGCACTTTACAGTATCAGCAAGTGAGATTTTCGACAGCTCTACCGTTTTGATTTTTGAAGAGAAAACTGGTATCTGATACAGTGTGATGTCGACAAGTTTAGATCTTTCCATGGAAGGCCGTCACGATCAAAATTCACTTCTCATTGGGAGACAAATGGATGGCAGGTGTTGTAGAAGGATAAAGGACTTAACTTGCTTCTGGCCACCCTAACCTGGTGGGTCAGTTTCTCAGCCAGAGCAACAGACCACACCAGAGCATATCATGAGACTACTGAAAGCCCTGCTGTACAGTGTCAACATTTAGCTTTTTGTAAGCGAGCATTTATCAGCAAAATAGATGCTTTGATTCACCAATTATTCCTAGCAAAGCTAAGAAGGGAGTTGGCTTTATCTACGTAAACAGTGGTGATTTCTGCAACAAAGAGTGAACTTGCAGGTATCACCTGAGTTTTCTCCTAATGTTAAATACTAACAGTAAATTCAAATCACAAACCCAATTCAGTTAAGGGACTTCCATGAAGAAAGATGGCTGACTAAATGTCTACTGCCGACACTCCACCGACAGAGATGATTATGTGGTGATTAATGATAGCCAGGATATAAATCTACCAACTGAACTTTCACTTGGAAAGCAAGCTATACGCTGGCACAAGAAGAGGCAATTATTAACAGGCAGAAAACAAAACAAAAAGCATGTTTTTATTATTTGCAACTAAGAAATATTCTAAACTCCTAAGGTTGTTCCGATGGCTAAGAACTCTCATTTTATATTACTTTTAACTTCTTCGCCCCTTTGGTGTAAATGCCAACTGCAAAGTGAAATTTACCTCTCTGATTGTGGGAACGAATATGCTCCTCTATTAAGGAGACAGATGCAGGTTTTCAAGGCAGACTGTTAAGGTGGAGAGTGAGTTGTTACTAAGACCTCAGTATGGTATAAAGCTGGGTGTAAAATAATAAATATACAACAAGTAATTAACTATGGATTATTTTTTAATATTGTATATGACTACAGTGCAGAGATTCCTGTTTAAATAGAAATGAAGGATTTGTTTTTTTAAAAAAAACATGGAGGAATGGTTGGAATTTTTTGGGAGATAAAGTTACCATACTGGAATGGAGGAAGACTATTGGGTACACACTTGAAAGTGATATCTGGCTGGTGAAAGACCCTGTGTGAGATGCAGAGAAGGAAAGATCTCCCAGGATGGGAGACTGGGGGAAGAAAGGGAAGCACCCAGGTGAGAGCTGGGAGGGTCCACTCCCGTCTGTGTGAGACAAGATATAATAATAATAATAATAATAATAATAATAATAATAATAATAATAAATTTTATTTATATCCCGCCCTCCCCAGCCGAAGCCGGGCTCAGGGCGGCTAACAACAATAAAACAGTACAACAGTACAACACAACACTCTAAAATCATTCATTATAAAATTAATTCAAAGCAAACCACTGGCAACCATTGGTCCAGAGCTCCACGAAGATTGCCGAAGGAGGGAGTCAGGCTGTGCCCTGGCCAAAGGCCTGGTGGAACAGCTCTGTCTTGCAGGCCCTGCGGAAAGATGTCAAGTCCCGCAGGGCCCTAGTCTCTTGTGACAGAGCATTCCACCAGATCGGAGCCACAGCTGAAAAAGCCCTGGCTCTAGTTGAGGCCAGGCTAACCTCTCTGTGGCCTGGGAACTTCAAGATGTTTTTATTTGAAGACCGTAAGTTTCTCTGTGGGACATACCAGGAGAGGCGGTCCCGTAGGTACGAGCCCAGTTTCTGCGGGGTCGCAGAGGGCACTTAGGTGCGATCTCATCGATGGCTGGCAGGAGCTGGATATTCCAGCCCTCAACAAGCTCAATCAATGAGTCGCCAGGGGGAGCAAGGTCCCGCAAGGCTTGATGGAATCTATCAGGGTCCATCAGCCTCTGCGGGAGAGCCCAAATCGGCTCACCACCTAAGCAGGGTGGGGGTGGAAAGTCAATCCTGGCTTTCAGAGCGTAGTGATCAGACCATGGCACCTTCATCGAAGGAGACATGATCACATCTATACCTATGCCAAAGATCAAATCCAGCGTGTGGCCTGCTTGATGTGTGGGGCCTGAAACAAACTGGGAGAGCCCTAGTGTCGCCATGGAAGACACCAGGTCCAGAGCCTGTGAGGAGGGAGTGGTATCAGCATGGATGTTGAAGTCCCCCAATACCAATAGGTTAGGGAACTCCAATGTCCAGCCGGCCAACGCCTCCAGTAGGCCTGACAGGGTGGCTGCTGGTGCGCTAGGTGGCCGGTACACCAGACAGACAGCCAAGATCTCCTCGGAGCCCCACACTAAGCCAACACATTCAATGCTGGGGATCGATGGCGATGGTAGAGCCCTGAAAGGACAATCTTCCTGGATTAATAATGCCACCCCTCCCCCCCGGCCCACAGTCTGCGACTAGTGGAGGAAGGAGAAACCCGGGGGCACCATCTCTCGTAAGGTCATTGTTTCCCCTTTGTGCACCCAGGTCTCCATCACACAAGCCAGGTCGACCCCCTGCGAGGTAAAGAAATCTCGCAGGGTGGCGGTTTTGTTGCCTATAGACCTGGCATAGCACAGCACCAGTGACGGAGGTGAGTAAACCTTGCTCACCCTACCCTCGTCCCTCGGAATGAGGAGCAGATTGGAAGGGGTATGAGCATATCCATATCTCGATCCCCTTCGCCTATAAGATCTACTTTGAGACAGGGCTTGGCATTTCTTTCTCTCTTTTACTTTTTTGTTTGTTTGTTTAGTTAGTGTTGCTGAAAAGTTTCAATAAAAAAGTATGGAAAACCAAACAAACCCAATTCAGCCAATTTTTCGACACTGTTTTTAAGGATATAATGTGTGGTGTCAACCAGTTACTACTTCTACTGGTCCAACTAGACAGGTTTGGGATTTTTACTGAGGGTGAATTCTGCACCATATTCTTGACAAGATGTAATGCATCAATGGTGGATATATTCTGCTTTGTTAATTCTTCTGCAACGGTGCCTGAACTCTACTGCATTATTTCTGTCTGCGGAAACTATCTACATTGCAACGAAAGTGGGACAAAAATAAGTTTGTGCATTTGTAGTTTTCAGCAGAAAGTTAAAGGATGTGACAGAATGGAAATGAAACTGTATGATCACCTCAAAATCTTTGCAGGCATAAATAGTATTGACAATGGAGTTGGATATAACCACCTTGAAAGTATTATGAGCACAAATCATTATGAATGTGCAATTAAAAAACGTTTTCTGGAGGAGCCCTTAGCACCAGTAATAAACTGTGGAGTTAGTGAAAGGAATTATTGGGCAGGCCAGCCCCACAGTAACTCACATTGTGTCTTTCAGAGTGAATGTCCCTGTTCTTTGGAACTGCATTCAGAATATGACTCTGCACTTTCCCCCCCAAAAGGAAGCCATTTTTCCCCAACAAGCTTTCCCAGTCGTGTACAAAGGTCACTTCAATAGGTGTATACCTTTTATTGTTTTAACCCATATTTAGTTGTTGTTGGGTTTTGTACTGTTTTGTAATAAATAATAATAATTTTTTTTTAGTTATATGCCACCCTTCCCAGTTCAGAAAACTGGGCTCAGGGTGGCTAACAACAAATTTAAAACACTTAATTGATGCAGCCAAAAACAGCATAAAATACAGGATAAAACGTGAATAACAATAAATTCAGAATTCAAAAATCAATTTAGGGGGGAAATCCAGCCAATAAACATTAGATGATCACCAGGGCTAGCTGGCTATATTAGTCCTATTTGGGCCAGAGAGGAGACCAGGGGAGAATTAGCTGTGGGATCCCAGAGCGGGTAATCTTCATAAAAAGGCGAGGGGAGGGGAGTAAGGTGAATAAAAGATCAGGCTAAGTTCAAATTGAAAGCCAGGCAGAATAGCTCTGTCTTACAGGCCCTGAGGAAGGAAGTTAAATCCTGCAGGGCCCTGGTCTCATGGGACAGAGCATTCCACCAGGTCAGAGCCATCACTGAGAAGGCCCTGGCCCTGGTGGAGGATAATCTGACTTACTTAGGGCCCGGGACCTCTAAACTATGATTATTCATAGTTTAAACTGCTTTTATATCTCTGTAAGTTGCCTTGAGGCATACATGCAAAATGCAATTCATAATTTATAATGATGATAGTAACTATGTGATTGCAAAGTTCACATGTTATATTTGCCACATGAGTCCATGCCCAAAACATGTTGGAAGAGCTTGTTGAGAGAAGCAGTGTATTGTGTTTCTTAGAGATGTCATAATCAATCAAATATTCACATGTACTGAAGCCAGGTTTTCATGCACCCAAATGAACGTGTCATTTGATAGCATGAGGACTAGCCACTCTGAATGACCTCAGCCCCTAGGTCCTAGCTCCTAGGTAATGCATTTCCCATTGTGTGCAGCAGTAATACAGAACCTTTGATCTGTTTTTCTGGACAGCCCTTTAAATGTTTCATCTTCAGAAAATACCAGTAGGAATTCTTATTCTTCACTACTTACCCTTTCCTTTTATCAGAGTCCTAAGTAAAGGAGTCTCAGGTCGCTCATCTAATTCTTCAGAGTGGTCAATGAGCGCTTCTTTCACTGCTTGGAATCCAGACAGTACTACAATGGGTAGATGTCCTAACCATATGGTGTAAATATTTCCATGTTGCTTTCCCAGCTACCATTTGGGTCAAAAGAGAGGAGAGGAATGATGGATTCAAAAAACACAGTTGGATATTTCAACTTAATA